TCAGGAACCTTCCCAGCCTCCCCATCCCAAATCTAAGAAGTCTAGTTTTCCAGGAGGACACTAAGGATGTGGAGGACCAGTCTGGCACAGACCAACAGGTCTTTTAAACCCCCTCGCTCTGTCCTGGGGTGATGCGCAGGGTACTCACAGTCCGTGTACTGCTGGAGCTGGGTGAACTCGGCAGGGCTGAGCGAGATCCACCCGCCATCACTCATCTTCAGGCAGCAGGGCCCGGTTTGGGGTGGCCACGAGCTCCTGTACGTGCTGTGCTGGGCTGGCTGGGTCACACTGGCACTGCGAGGGGCGTGGGGGGCTCTTGGCCAGCTGGCATCATCCCACTGAGTCTATGAGCAGCAAACCCCGGATCAGCACCTTCCACCCTAGAGCAGGGCCAGAAAGAGAGGAAGGGGTCAGCAGTGCCCAGCTGCAGGAGGGGTGGCACCATGCAACCAGCAACAGCCACAGCTCTCGGCGGCTGGAGGATGTGTCTCAACAGAGCGAAGGCAAACGCCACGTGCGAGGATAGGAGCTTGTTGCCTTGTGTACCCCCAGTGTTTTCCAAGGGAACCCAGAATGACAGGAGCAGAAGGAAGGACACAACTAATTACAGAAGATGTAGTGCGTGGAGACAGGGGAGCTGAACGAATGGAAGCTCCCAGCTTGTGCCTCCATCTCCAAAGCTGGTGGTGACCTTTAGCTGGATCTACCATGGAGAATCGTCATAAATTGAAATCTATGTTCAAAATTGGGTGAGAGGGAAAAACCTGTGTTATAGAGGAAGCATCCCTCCAAGTGGCCCTCTCCAGCCCGTCCATTTTCAGGCTTCAAGATGTAGTTGCTTTCTCACTTAAGCTAATCAGTCATGGGGGAAAACACAGCATCCTGAGGAGATGGCTGCTCTTCAGGGAGCAGAAGAGAGTAAACTCATCTTGATTTTAGGGACATTTCCCTGCTAAATGTTGGCTCACGGTTTTCCAGACTGAGCTGATGAGCAAGCAGAGCAAGGGTGAGCTGGGAAAGGCCACTTGACTTGGAATGATGCTTGGGGAGCACCCCCACCCCCAGCAGCTGGCTGGCCTGCTCATGGTGCTGTTCATTTGCAGGAAAAGGCATTTGGTGAAGGTGAGCAAGTCATTTTGGGGAGCTGCTGGGTCCCAGGTGCCACACCAAACCCACTCAGTGTCCCTAGGGACATACACATATGGGGTGCACCAGGAACAGCTCCCAGTGCCTAAAGGGGCTGACAAGAAATCTGGAGAGGAGCTTTTGGCAAGGGCCTGTAGTGACAGGACAAGGGGGAATGGCTTTGAGCTAACACAGGGGAGATTGAGATTAGCCATGAGGAAGAAGTTCTTCCCTGTGAGGGTGGTGGGACACTGACACAGGTTGCCCAGAGAAGCTGTGGCTGCCCCATCCCTGGCAGTGTTCAAGGCCAGGTTGGACACAGGGGCTTGGAGCAACCTGCTCTAGTGGAAGGTGTCCCTGCCCATGGCAGGGGCTTGGAACTGGATGAGCTTTAAGGTCACTTCCAACCCAAATCACTCTGTGATTCTATGATCCCCTGAGATGCTTTTGCTGCTCCTGCCCAGCACTGCAGGGGCATGGCTGCCTCAGGGCTGAAGGGGATGATGCCTTGTCCTCACACTGCTGTGCCATTGGATGCTCCTGTGGGGACAACGCACAGCTCTGAGGGAAATTCCACCTCCCCACCCTTGCCAGGTCCCTGCTGGCCCTGAGGCACCTTGCCTCCAACCCAGCATCTCTTTGTCCGCATGCCACCAACCAGGTGGACAGACTGGACACAGCTATTCAAGCAGTTGCGTAGTTGGGCTAGAAAAAAACTACCCAACATCTTCCCACACCAGCATGGGTTTTCTAGGGATCTTCATCTTGGGAAAAGGACAACCAGGAATACAGGTTTTCCACCTTTCGGGGATGAAGGGTTTGTCCTGAGACATCTCTGAGGCTGGTCCAGAAGAACTCAGTCTGTAAGTAACCCTACAGGAGCATACACAGGCTTTCTGTTTCCTGGCAAGTGAGCTGTTTTGTTTGACCGGAACCTATTTTTTATCCTAAATTTATACAAGGAGGGGCTGAGAGAACAGAGCTAGCTTGGCCTGCAGAAAAAAAATGCAGAGGGGGACTCCTGGTTGGCTCCAGCTGCCCGAAGGAGTTCAGGTGCAATGGATGGCCATGAAAATACCCCTTGCTTCTTTTATTGTTGGGTTATGGGGCAGCATGAAGCAATAGAAGGAAAGTAAAGTGGAGCTAATTGTGCCATCCCAAGGGGCTTTCCCCCAGCAATTGCTGGAATAACAAATGCCACTTCTGGCATGTCAGCTCTGGATTTCAGAAAGGGCAGGGAAAAGCCTCCTTAGGAATCCAGCTGCTCGTTCGGTCGCCTTCTGAATTGTCAGTGGCAAATTATGTTCTATTAAATCAAATTTGCCTCTCTCTAAAAATAGCTCCCCTACTAGCATTAAAAAGAACACTGGACTACCCTGCCTGAAAGCACCTCCCGGGACACGGCCCCTCTCCCCCTCCTCGCTCCATGCCCACCAGCTGTGCATGTGGGTTCTGCCATTCTGCTGGCACTGGCGGCATGGCATGACTCAGGATGGCTGAAGTGGCTGGGGGAGGATGGAAAGGGGAGAGCGGGGAGGGCTCCGAGCACCTCCTAAGCCCTCCTTGGGGATTAGCTGATGCCAGAGCTCTCAGGAAGCCCCTGCACGCATGGAGCATCCTGCCAGCCCCAGGGCTGGGTGTGGGATGATGAAGGAGGCACCCTGGGGAGCATCGCCGGATGCAGGCAGAGGCACAGCTCGGTGGGAGCCAGGACCCAGCCATGTAGGGCCTGAAACGTTCACATCAACAAGGATGATGCCGGGTTGAAGCTGGGGATGAAGCAGCGTAGACTGGCCAGCGGGGCCCAGGCAGGCGGTGGCCAGGCCAAGCCATGGGCAGCAAGCACATCTCAATACCCATGAGAAAGGGCTGCCCATGGACGCTCCCAGTGTCCAGGGCTCGGGGGCTGCTGGGGACAGTGATGGATGGGCAGAGGAGCTGTTCTTCCAGCCAGCTGCCGCTTCCTATGAGCCTCCCCACCAGACCCTGTCTGTCTGGTGATGCTAAGGACAGAGGACCTGGCTCTTGGGCTGGTCCCCCAGCACACAGCACACTGCCATGGGGCTTGCCACAGATATGTGAGGGCTTATTCTGCTGGCACCCGCCTGCCCTCCCCAGGACTGGAGCTACTGGAGACCTAATTTTACCCAGTCTGGGGCAGACCAGCTGCAGGCAGTGGGTAGCATGGCAGCCTCCAGGTGCTGGCAGAAAAGCGGCCACTCTTGCAGAGCCTCCTTTGACTGGCCCTGCAGGGGTGTGCAGACGGCCACAGGAGATTTCTGCTTCAGATGCCCTTTGGGAAGGAAAAACATCACCTCTTCGAGCTTCAGGAAACAGTGCGAGGAGGGAAAGCTCCTGCTGTGCATATGCTGCACGCTGGCACGTGCGGAGGCTGTAGCTCTCCGGCAGCCGTGGGCGCAGCACAGCCCGAAGCTGGGCTCTTCCCTGCATCCCTGGCTGTGCCTGCTGAAAGACACAGTCACTCACAACAATTTCTCCTGGGGCAGAAGACCGGTGGGTCCCTGCATGAATGGCATTTTCCAGTGAACCACATCATTTGGGAAGACCAGCCTATTTTTGTGTTGGACTGAGGAGAGGCCCCTGAGCTGGTGGGTGGAGTGTAAATCTCTCCTGTCCCACTGCAGCAAACAAACCCCAACCAAGTCACGCTCAAACTATTTTCTGCAATGACAGGGAACACACTTCTCTGCATTTTGCCAGCCTGAGAGGACACTTGGGATCTGCTTTTTCCATCTTCCTGCCTGTTGCTCTCTACACATTCCCTTTACCCACCCATTCATGCAGAGCCACATGCACACATCTGCCAGGAGCACCTTGCTGGGCCTCTGTGCCTACTCCCGGCTGCAGGGCACCCCTTCCTGGCAGCTTTCAAGCAAGCAAGCATCAGTTTGCTTAGAGATGCTCCCCTCTCCCTGACTGCTGTTAGAGGACCAGCAAAGCCAAGGAGAAGAGACATCTGCCACCATGACCAGCTCTTGCACTGCAGATGCTCTCTCCCTCACATCTGGTCAGGGACACGGGAAGAGGAGGGTGGCCTGGGGTCAGGCTGCATTCATACCGACTCCCAACTGGGAGCTGGGAGAGCTCAGCTCAGCCCAGCTGCATGGGGACAGCAGGGACCCAGCACAGCCAGTCCCCCTCCATCATCCTGCCAGGGCCAGGACAGCTCAGCTCTCACCCCAGACACACCAACAACTTCCCAACTTACTCCTGTTGCCTTTTTAGAGAATAGTTCTGCTGGCTGCGTTCAGAGCAGGCTGGATCCAAGCTAGGATGCCTTTTGAGTGAGACCTGTCCCCTTGCCACCTCTCCTGCTTGTCCCAGCCAGACCAGAGCTTGTCTTGCGGAAAAGCCCCTTCCCACACCAGACAGGGAGGCAGTGGCTGGCTCCCACAGCCTGGGGGCTGAGATCCTCCCTGGGTTCCTGGCTTCACCACCTCACACCTACAAACCCAGGGCTTCCTGTTGCTGGCACAGGGAAGCTCTGCCTCTGTCCCTGCAGGAATCCTGCGGTGGCAAGTCCCACAGGTTAACTGCACCTTGTGTGGGATAATGCCGCTTTCCAGGAGCTTTGGAATATGTTCTTCTGCCCTTTCATTCCCCAAAACAACCTGAAGAACAAGTTGCAGGCAGCCTCTTGCTGCAGGCTCAGAATGCTGAACACCTCCTAATCCTCCTGCCCTCCAAAGCAAATGGCCCCAACAATTTTTACTTAATGAGGAAGACACTAATGAGCTTCCCCGGCCTGGCAACGTGGGGGAACAGCTGACTCGGGCTGTTTCTCCGCCAGTCAAAAGGGTGTGTTGTTTTATAGCAAAGCTGAGAACCAACACATGCTAAGGCACCAGTGAAGACCACATAGCCTCCCTGGGCTGTGTTAGAGGCTTCGTGGAAGCCATCTTCTCCACCCTGGGGGGACAAGAGGATGCTGCCCCGTCCTTCTCGACCCTTTGAGCAGCTTTTCCCACGGGCTCCCACGCCATCTCCGTCGTCCCAGCGCTGCCCCGCTGCTTGAACGCATGTCCCCTCTCCTCAGACCGCTTCAAACCCGACCCAAAGGCCTCGGGAC